ACAGAACCTGCTCTGCGCTTGTGTGCAGCATCTGCAGCCCTCTCTATGGGATCAATTCTGCACATGCAAATCTCTCCCTGCTCTCCTCAACAAGTAGCCTCTCCAACAGTCAATCACAGACAGCTCTGTTTTATCCAACCAAAGCATGTCCAGGAAACACTGCTTTACAGAAAAACACCCATTTAACAGCTAATTGAACTGCTTTCTGCTGCTGGTTAGCTACCAGTCACCATCCACTGCCTGCAAGATACTTTGTTGTAATTCATGTGTCATGATTAGGGTGACCATATTTGACTTCCAGAAAAGACACATTGCCTATTCCTAAAACTGTTAAATTGCACTCTTTTCAGTTAAAAATGACTTTTAATTTCAACATATAAAGTGTTTCTTCTCTGTTTGGTTAGGCATAAATGATCCCTTGATGTGTAAAAGGAAGTGAACAGTGGAAATGTCCCAGGAAAAGAGGAGGGTTAATCAACCTAATTAAATATAATTATATAAAGTCCTCTTTATCTGAAAAAAGTGCAATTTTCCTGCCAGTATTTCCTGGACATGCTTTGATTGCATAATGGAGAGCTCTCTGATTGGCTGACGGAGAGGCTACATTGCTTTGTAAATTGCAAATTGAGCAACAGCAGGGAGATTTGTGCAGGCAGAGACGGAGTTGAGCATGCAGAGAGAGGGCCGCATACGACGTTGTGCTCTTGCTGATTGATCACTGCACGCTCCAGTTGGTGGCACAAAAATCACTCCACACTAAAAACCTGAATCAGAATCTGGCCGAATGTGTATATTATTGACCATTTTTCTATATTATATATATTTTTCAATAATATATATATAATATATTATAGGTACATATATGTATCTATAATATAGTAAACAGCCAGTTTTATATATGTCACATATATTCAAAAGCTACATCAAAACATATATTAAAACCTATATGTTTATGACTTCTTCCCATGTGGGTTGTCAATTGCTTAATATTTCCTATGTTTACCTATGGGAAAGAAAGGAGATATTGTACTCGTCTAACTTTAACATAAATTTTGGCAGCTCGATGTGATGTTATGGAAAATGCCATCATCATGAGCAACCAAACATGGGCTATATTAGGCTAACAGTTGTCCATATTCTGTCCCATTTATCCACCAATGGCTGTTTCAGTTATTGTGAGTGAAAACTGAATGGTATAGTAGCATTTGTCTTGGCATTAGAAATTGAAAATGTTTTTCAATGTGTTGGCTAGATGGATATACGAAGATTTTTTTAAGAGAGTGAGTGAGGAACAGGAGAGAGACCAGGTGGTTGATGCTGAGGAGATCTGCATGGTCAAGGTCAGTGATCTACAGCGAAAACAGGGGCGAGCGCACCGTTATGAGCATTTACCTGAGCACAAAGTTCCCAAGCAAAATTGAACAGTTTTCTATTTAGGAGTGAACAGGTAAGAGACATTGAGAAAAAAATAACTATAATTATCATCTGACCTGCAACCTTATGTCAAGTTGTATCTGTATAGTTGACTTTCTGTATTATAAGTTCTACTACTTGCTGGATATTTTTATATATACTGTTATTTTGTCTTGTAATTGTTAATTATATACTCCTTTATTCCATATCATAGCAGTGTTATTCATATATTAAAACTGTCAACTGCACACTCATTTGGCAGAATAAAAGTTTTACAATTATTCATTTGTTCTTTATTGTCACATTTCAGTAACATTTATAATTAAACAAGTTGTAAGTAAACAAATTAAATAAATGACTACAACATTTCCCCCTGTTAAGTGCAGTAGACTGAAATGAATAGCTTTATTTGGAAATATAACATATCTCATTTTTAATGGACTTACATAAAATCTTTCTTCAACATAGACCCCACTAATGAACTGATTAAGTGTTATTTTTTATGAAAAGAAGAGAGAAAAGGCACAAAAGTAGGAAAGGAAAAGAAAGTGATAAAATAATAGGTTTTGTTAGATTTTCTTCAGATAATGAATTAATTGACAAAGTTTTTGCAGGGTGTGAAAAAAAACGTTCGAGGTCAAGCTCCTGGGGCTAAGCCCCCCCTATATCTCAATCCTAGTGACGTCCTATAAAATGACATGTTGAGGACGCAAACTCAATACATCTCTTTTATTGTGAGGTAATAATTTCTCCGAGTTTTGCGGTTGCGGGTGGGAGTAGACATGCACGCTGCAGGTGCGGGCGGGAGTGTAACACACAGGTTGCGGTTGCAGGCTGTAATGGTCAGAAATTCAGCGGGAGCGGAGCGGGAAGTAGAAAACAGTCCCGCGCAGGGTTCTACTGCTTTTAATTTTTTTAATGATTTCGATTAAAAATAAAGGCGCCCGGCCCGTGTCCGAGGTAATCAGGGGTGTCGGACTGGGGGGGGGGGGGGGGGGGGGGGGGTTGCCGTTTACCCAGGGCCCACTGCAGGGAGGGGCCCTGAGACAGCTTTGAATGAAAATGTTTTATTGTTGTTGTTTTTTTCCCCCCAACTTACTTAATGTCTTAATAAACTTCCCTTTACCTGGATAAAGAGGTTAAGAAACAGAATTTCGCCTTAAAAATAATAACTGAATAATCTCTGAGGCATCTATCACCCCTTAAAAATGTGCAAAGTGGTTTAGTCCACACCAGCGGCCAGGGGCTGCACGGCCGCATGTACAGCTATGAGACATCGCAGATGCCGACAGCCAGAGCTGGAGGCAGGAGGGTCAGTCATGTCTTTTCCCAAGAAAGGGAAATCTGGCTTCCATAAAAGAAAAGAAAAGAAAAGAAGGAGAAGGAGGAAAAGTTAATTGAACAGAAGCAAGTAGAAGGAAGGTGAGCAGCAGCCAGCAGCAGCAGAACACAGTTTTAGCTAGCTCTCAGAAGCTGCATTCATGTTAGGTGTTCAGTGTTAAACACCTTTAGTTTCACCATCAAGATCAAATATAAATTAATTAGTGTTATCAGTGAAAACACTAATTAATATATATATATATTAATCAGAATTATTATCACGGGCGGCCGCCGCCAATTAATTCGCGGACCTCGCAGTAAAAACAAGTTCACTCTGTGTGGATATTTCAGCTCCTTCCCAGTCATGGACCAGGACAAACTTGGTATCGATGGACTCGTGGTAATCTCAGGAATGTGAAGCTGCCACTGTTGTTCGTATAGCATGATGACACGGGTGTTAGAGGATTGTTATTGACTTGGTTAGATATTTTAAGCCTATTTTAAATTTCTTCATATTTGATCTTGAAAACGGACAATCTTATAATTTGGCTGATAATGCAGGGATTATAAAATTTAGAGTACATTACATTCACAGAGAGAACCTGGTTTATTTCATGTCATATGTATTTAATATATCAATACATATCAGCAAAGCTTAACATCATGAACCATGACAGACATGACTGAAGAGCAGATGAAGATATCATGCCAGGCACTGATGAGAAAACATTACAAGGATCTCACAGCTGAATTTGAGAATGAGATGCTACACCTGAGAACAATATATGGTGCCACATTTCCACACATTCGGTCTCCTCTTGAGCTGCTTAATGCCATCTACAGGATGCAATTACAGAGCATTTTTGGATAAGTTTGTATTGGACTGAGGATTTTTTGCACACTGCCTGTGACTGTTGCTGGGGGTGAATGGGCTTTTAGCAAACTGAAACTGGTGAAAAATTATTTGAGATCAACAATATCCCAGGATAGACTGAACAGCCTAGCTCTTCTTTCTATTGAAAGCCAATTAGCCAAAGGATTGGACTTTAAAGTTCTCATAAGTGATTTTGCTAACATGAAGACCCGTCAGTGGGCATTTACTGGAAAATAAATTCCAGGATTTTTGTTTGAACACATTGTTGGCAAATAAAAATAATTATATGTGAAGTCTGGGCATTTCACTTTAATTATGCTGGCATTTGTATTTGCTCAATATAGAGGTTAAACTAAGATCATATTTATTATCTTGTCTTATAGCATGACAAAAAATGTGTAAGAGAGATATTAAACAATTGAGCATGGGGGTCCACCTAGAAGACTTGTACCTAGGGCCCAGAATTTGGTGCTACACCCCTGGAGGTAATTACACAGTCGTTGGCCCGAAGCCCGGCCCGACGGCCCGAGGGCCGGGCCGACCCGAGGGCCGGGCCGACCCGAGGGCCTAGGGCTTCAGTGCAGGGCTCTAGTTCTATATTCATATGCACCAATTTTAATAACTGGTTAAATCACCAAAATACATTTTACTACACCCACGAATAACACAGTGAACTCTCATTAGGTTTATCTGGTTGTTTTTTACTACTGTTTTAATCTATTTATGAACCTGTCTTCGTAACTGTATTTATCAAACTAGATTTCTTTCAGATAAACATCTTTCCTTAGCGTATTTTTACATCATTCACTTTTCATGAACTAAGCATGCATCAATTGACATTTTCTCTTATTGTGCAAAACATACCTCTTGTGGCTTTAACCCAAAAATACACCTGCCATGAACTCCCCAGCTTTCGGTACAGTCTAACACTTGAATTGGCACGGGCTAACAACTGGACCAACTTGGAAATTTGCTCTTTAGCTTAACATTCACCACACACAAGACACTCGTCATTAATTGCCACTGCTGTCTGTCACTCTTATAACATCTGTTTAGCAACCCCCCAGCTTACCTGTAAAGACAGAAAAATATCTGATTAATCAGTTCTTTCGGCGCACAGGCCGTACACTGCCTCTCCACCACTGGCACTACTCTTCTAGTGTAGCGTCAGCTACCGATGTGTGCAGGACGGAGCGCCCTCTGCTGGCGGAACGTATATAACAATAGAACTGACATTGTAGTGGCCTTACTAAAAGAAAGTGTCTTTGAGCCTAAAATAAAATGGGGGGGGGGGGGGGGGGGCGCGCTACTGTTTTCATGTCTCTGTCTTTCACATAGTGCCACATAAACAATCAACTAATGAGCCATAAATTTCATCAGTTGCTACAAAATCATGGACTGATGGTGACCTGGCTTTGTTGCTAGTGGATCCTTTTAGTTCGTGGTTTACTTTAGTGTTAGTTCGCACATGTTAGCTCGTTGTTAGTGCTAAAAGTAAAGTTTTTTGGGCAGTTTTACATCCAGGATAAGAGCCACTACACTCAATCACATTTGGAACTTCTAAATAATAAATAAAATATATTGCACTGTGTTGATCACTGGAAGCCATCTTTATTTTCACTGGAAGGTTACACTTCCACAGCGAATAATCTCTAACTTCACATGAAATTTCTTATTTTCCACAGTTACAAAGGAAATAGAGTAACACTAGTAAAATTAAATCTTAGTTTACATGACACATCTTATAAATGTGTAAAACATTACAGAAAGTATTCATTTCAGTGGAATTTAAATAAATGAAAGTATTACATTTGAAACACATTCACCGCTTGTCAGCTTTCCGATGTTTCTGCAAAAACAAACAAATATAATTTATTTATCCAGTAATGTAGATAAATCAAACATTAACACGAAATTTCAGTCTGTCTTTATGAGAAAAATACCCTCTGTCCTCCCACTGGCATGCTGTAAAACTCCGAATCCAGTTGGTTTCCTCTGTGACTCTGATAGACGGTAGCACCTGGAGGAGGGGAGATACAGCAGAACAGGGAATTGTTCAGGGAAAAGGAAATGAAAGGCTCCCAGTTTGAGCATGTGAAACTCTCTACATCAAATCCTCCACCAGGGATTTGACTAAACACTCTTTCTCAGAGGATTAATTTCCCACCACTATAACTGCAGGAACTACAAAGGCATGCAAACACAAGCTTTGTCTGTGCAACTCCGAGATAAGTTTTGAAAGACTCACTTGGCGTCTGATGAACAATGTTGATTTTATCTGCGGGGAGAGGAAATACATTTACAGTCTGCCATTTGTAAGTCAAACTTAGCTGTACTGTATCAATGGTGTGTCTTTGTGATGACAGCAGACTTCAGCCCACAGCATGGCAGCATATTTACCATAGACACCGCTGTCTCTGTTGTCGATCATATTGGCTCTCAGGTGACTCCGCTTCTCCTGGGGTGATAAAGATTTAATAAACATCTTCAATTTGTTCCTATTGAGTTTTCCCTTCAGTTTCTCCTTGATGTTTTTTTCTGTTTGACTCAAAGACTTTCTCACTTAGCCCTCCCACTGTCCTCAGGAAAGTTGACCATTGAGCAGGGTTGATGGTTTATCCCTTGAGGTCCACGTGGCAGGGGTGAGGTGGTGCTCACTCAGTGGAAGGGTTAAAGACATCAACATGCAACATTCAAGGGAATTAGGGTTAAGGTTAGGGTTTGTTTTGCTTTGGAACAAAAAGCTGAAGTGCAGTTTGAGGCCATGTGGTGGTGCAATGGTTTGCCACAAGAAGGTTGCAGGTTCAACACCCCACTGTGGTCTTTCTGCATGGAGTTTTCATGTTCACAGCCATTCACGCAAGGCTTCCTTCCACAGACCAATTAGTCCCTTAAGTCATCATCACACACTGGTGAAATTCATCTCCGCATTTGACTCATCCCCATGGGGAGTGGTGAGCTGCAGCTGTAGCCACGCTCAGGGACTATTATGTGTTTTAACCCCCCAGTCCAACCCCTTAAATCTGAGTGTCAAGCAGGGAGGCATTGGGTCCCATTTTTTAAATCTTTGGTAGGACACAACCAGGATTTGAACCCCAATCTCCTAGACCCGGAGAGGAAACTGATTCCATTAGGCCACTGAGAAGGTTAAACACAGATGAGATGAGATTAAATCATAATTCTGCTCCCACGCATGCATGGGTAAAGAGATGAAGGTAGAATTGTTGCAGGAAACTGTTCAAAAGCTACTTTATCTTTTTAGAAAGATTTCACAGAAGCAGGTGTCTCTGATTGTATTGTACTGCAAAGCAGCCTTTGATTGTTCATCAAAATTGGATGCTGGACCTTTTCATGTATCATGTATCAGTGTTCCAACAATCCCGCCAAAACACAAAACAATCCGACAGATTGACACGATGTGTCTATGTGTTGGTTTGCTATCAGTGTCCTACCTCCTTCTTGGCGTCCACACCTTTCTGATCCCGCTGCCAGTCCCTGAAGTGACCAACAGCCTGGTCCATGGTGAGTGAACCTGCCTTCACCTGGTGCTGCAGCTCCACAAGCCTCTCAAGCCCTTGCAACTGGTTTGGTACAAACGTATCGTAGGTGCTGGTTTCTTGGTTAGGTGCTGCAAAGAACAGAAGCACATGAAACGGTCTTTTAGTTTGACTAAAGCGTCTTTTTGTCTAACAATACAATCAAAATACAAGTACCAAGCTGCTGTTACGATGTGGACTTAGACTGTGAACAAGAAGGTCTCCTGTTAAATTCTTCTACTCACTTGGCTCCACGCTGAGTCGATGCATGCTACCTGCTTATGTCATTACTCGGTCTGTGCTTACATTAAACCATTGATCTCACCACAATTAGATTTTATCTATACACATGAAACATTTAAATTAATGCTACTGAAGTAAGTCTTGGTGTGATCGCATCACTAATCATAGATTATAACTTGAGTAGTCCTAACACAGACCATAATGCAAGTATAAATTACTTCATAAAGAGGAACCTCTACCCATGTCATGATTTACAATAAACATTTTTGCTCATAATTGTGACATTTTTGAAATACTGAAAAGAAAAGTGCATTTCCTTTTTGCTAATTTTACATTAGTTTGACTTTTTCAAACTCTTTTCACATCCTTCACCTTCACAGTTCTAGTCATTTATTCGATAACCAACTATTTGTTTATTTGTGTTTTTAGTTTCAGGCATTCAAGTTTTTTATTGCCATCCAATTAAATTGATGATGTGTATTTTCCCTAGCAATGGAGGGCAGTACTTACCTAAATCATTGCAAGCAACTGGTATTTTTGTGTTTGAGTAAAAACCTATCAACTGATGGCCATTAGGGTACAAAAACTCTGGGAGCACAACCTCCAGCAAAACAACAAGCACTTCAGACTTCCTTTCATCACTGGCAATGAGTGAAGAGGTAAATGTGTAAAACAACGTTTATGAATGGGAACATTTTTGTAACTGTTTGTTACAAATCAGTAAATGTGTTTTGTCCTCATGGGCTCACGTAGAAGAAAACATGGCGTCGGCCAGAGACTCAGGCCCAATCCCAATGCTTGCCCTGCGGTCTTCAGCAAAGTGCACTTGGAGAAAGTGTGCAGTAAGGTTCGAGTGCGTGGTACACAAGTTTTCAAATAATTGCCGAATTGAGACAGGAAGTATTGCGTCATCGATCGCAATAAATGATGGGATGCTGGTCGCTGGATACTTAAAAAAAACTTTATTAACTTTCAAACGAACAATTATTTGAAATATTTTACATTTGTTTGTGCTTTGTCTAGAAGTTTTAAAGCATCAACGAATCATCCTAAAATGATCTACTTTCTTAGAAAATACATATTTTCAGAAAAGGAACTTGAGGAACATTTCCCCTGCAGCAATGGATTGTGGGTAATACACAATGCGGACGTGGGTGAAGTGCAGATAAAGTGTGCAAAAGGGGCGTGATCAACTTCCGCACTTGAAAATCGGGACACCCTACGCTTTCGCGGCCCTGGTCGGGATCACACAATAGAGCTCCGGGAGTTGACATCACGTTTCCCGGCATGCAACAGTTCAAATCGAAACGGCGCCATTTGGCAGGCAGAAGCTGGCAGCTGGACTATTTGTTATTGTCAGAAAACTCAATCAAACGGGAAATATGGTAGATTCCTGTTGTGCCCCAGGATGCAGAACAGACGCGGACGAGATAAGGGAAGAGCCATCTACAGGATTCCCCAAGATCCAGAGCGCCGCAAACGTTGAATCATTGTAATAAAACACGCTAGTGACCGGGCTAAAATGAAACTGTGGGATCCCGAGAGTAAAGGATTTCGCTTATGCAGCGACCACTTCATATCACTTCATATCAGGTACTTAAACCAACGTTTCCTCAACTGTGTATGGTATTTATTTTAAATGCTTTTATTACGATTCTTAGTGGGCTTCCTAAACTTATTTTGGCGAGGCTTTTTCTGTCTTATTACTCATAGCAACAAGTAAACATCACGTAAAACGTTGCCTCGTGAGTTCTGCGTGCTGCCGTTTACGTGTTTTATGATCACAGCAATTAACCGGCTAAGCTGTATTTAATTTTTAAGCAATGGTTGATCAATTGTCAGATCACACATAAAAAGCACTTTGGATTGCTATTATCTGTCTCACCGAGACAAATCTCAGACAGATCCTGAGACGCTCCTGCCTGACATATTTATTTTATTCACGAAAAAAAAATCGAACTAGTGATTTCTCTTGGCGTTCAGTTTATACTTTCAAACAGCACAGCACTCTATTTAAACTACTTACATGTAAATCTATGTTATTTGTCCATCCATCCATTTTCATCTGCTTATCCGGAGTCGGGTTGCGGGGGCATGTAGCGTCGAGAGGCCCTGACTTCCCTCTCCCCAGCCGCCGGAGCCAGCTCCTCCGGGTAAATCCCAAGGGGTTCCCCGGCCAGGTCCAGTAAGAAGTCCGCTCCAACAGCTTCTGGCGTCGGAGCGGGCAGTAACGTCGAGAGTCCCAGACCTCTCCCCAGCTCCTCCGGCCGGGGGAATCCCAAGGGGTTCCCCTGGCCAGGTCCGGTGTAGTCCGCTCCGACAGCTTCTGGCGTTTTTAAAAAGTATCCCAGGGGCACGGTAAGGGACGGAGATGTTTAGTCTATTTAATTTCTGACTATATAAAACGATTTCTTCGGTTTTAAAGTGTGAAGTAAACTCCGACGAATTAAAATCCAAGCCGATCCCGTTCACGTTCATGGTTACATCCGTGTTTGTTTACCTTTTTTTTCCTTCCAAAATGGCGTCTACTAACTGAGAGTCACGTGGGGTCCGGAGCTCTATTGAAGGGCATAACGGTGGACGTGCGAGTATTGGGATTGGGCCTTAGACCTGCTCCCATGTGTTTTAGACCTGATATTTATGGTTATAGATGTTTTTCAACAACCGGCATCGTTTAATTTATTTTCAACAACATTTTGATGGATATTTCCAGAGATTAACGGTAAAACTACACATTGTCTCGTTAAAGATAAATTAAATCTGTCACTGAAATCAGTTTAAAACAACTAAAATTAATCCAAACCTAACGAAAATCATGACGTTGCTTTTACATTGTGGTTCAACAGAACTATTTAAAATACCAGCCTGATGGGCCCCATAGGTTAATATGTAGTTGAACAGCATGTTTGGGCGACTGCTGCAGCCAAATGATTTCTGCACCTGCTGACCCCCGCTCTTTAGTAAAGTGTTTTCATCTTTCTGGGACAGTTTTGTTTGCTTCTTTAAATTACTCTTTTCAACCACACCGAGACATTTGAACTCTTCTCCTTGAGGCAAATTTGCTAATAAAACAGCTCTGGGTGATTTGTAAGACCCACATCTATTTCCGCACTCACTTTGTGTAGGGGAAAGAGAATGCACATCAGAGCCTCCTCTTGGGGTTTTCTTCTTCTTCTTGAACACTGTGAACAAACAGAAGCTGTGATAAACAAGAGAACGTCAAGACTAGGGATGGTTCTGTAATTGTGACTTTCTCCCAATAGATGGAGCTGGAGTCTAAAGAAAACTAAGTAAACCATGCACAGCTGAGTGAAATTCCTCATATAATAACAGCATCTGGGATTCATAAAAGGGTATGAACAAACAGGCAGATTCTTGGTTTGACCCAGTGAAATGACTGTACTCTTTTACATCATAAACGAATGCTTGTGGTTAATGTTGGTGACAGATCTGCAGCTGGATTGTAACTCAACGCCCACCCCCATGATCAGGGCTGCTTGTGGAGCCACTAGACCTCAGTGCCTAGATTTGATGAGCACACTTATTAGGGTTCCAAGCCCAAAGGGCAGGGAACCCTATTGTTTTTCTACGGATTTTTCATTATTTATTATTTATTATTTATTATTATTATTCTTCTCCGCTGTGTCTGTATGGGCGCAAGAGCCTGAAATTGCAAGGAAAAATCTGACATGGCAGTCTGATAGAAAATCCTGACCGCTACTCAGATTCGAAAATTTGGACCCCGGGTCACCTAGGTGGCGCTATTGCAGAGGTCAACTCGTTTCAGCTACTAGCTCCCAAACCGTAGGTCCTACAGTCAAAAACTTTATATGCACATGATCCTTGATTGATTCTCCATCTTTTTTGTATTGGCCACGCCCATTTCCGCCTAACTAGATTTTTTGCTAGATCGCAAAAAATGCAAAACTTAGTTTTAATCACCTATTCAACATTTTTCGTCGAATCAACTTCAAACTTCGTACATGTGATCTATGGACTAGGCTAAGTTGTTGTGATGAAGAAAAATGCAGAAATATTGAAAATTGGGCTAATGACACCATGTCAAAATCAGTGCGCTAGCTAGCACATGTGTTAATTGATGATATCTTCACCATTTCTCAAAATAAATTGATGAGACTCTAGAACCTTACAAAGTATGAGCGGTAAGTCCTATCTACCCCATTTTGTTTGGATTCACCAATAGGGGGCGCTAAAGAGTCAAAAAGTTTGTTTCAGCTAAACGGCTTGATGGATTTCCACAGAACTTGGCACATATGTTAATCGTCGGACCCTTAAGCTATATTTTGAAAATGATTAAAAAGTGGGCGTGGCTTATAGGCTTTAAAAATTTTCGCCCTTTTACTCATGAAAAATACATATTCTATACAGAAAATTACAATTCATATCAGTCATCGTGACATCTACAATCACAGAAAATTTTTTGAATTTTGTCCAATAGGTGGCGCTCTGGTACCCCAAAAATATTTTTGGCATGTTTCTCCCCATTTCTTTTGTAAAAAAACAAATGATCTATTCCAATGTGTTCTTTGAGTCAGTCAAATTTAGATGAGTAATTTAAAAAATGTTTTAAACTTATGCAAATTAGTAGAAATTTGCATAGTAAGTCCAACGTACTTTCGTTAACTCCTCCCGGCCGTCAAACTCAATCACATCAAAACTTTCCCTGACAAGAGAGGAGGAGCGGCTGACCAAAAGATGTGAAGGGATTTTCGATAATTTGCTTATTTTTTTAAATATGATTTTTTTAAATAATTTTTTGGGAATGAAAAAGTTTTTTTAGCGTAACTTCAAGAGATTTTGACATTTTTCAAAGCTGTTCATAACAGTCATACCTAAGGTCAATTCAAGTGTATGTCCTGGTTTTCAACTTGATTAAACAATAGGGGGCGCTATAACTGGGAAGAAATTATACTGCTGAACGGGCTAAATGGATCGGCACGAAACTTAGTGGCTGTCATCACTATAAAGTCTTAAGACTACATTATCAATATGGTAATGATTGATCAAAGTGGGCGTGGTTTATGATCATTTAAAATTTCAAATTTGAAAAATTTCCTAAAAATCACTATTTGCATGTAAGAGGCTAAGATTTCCAGATTGTGTTAAATGAATAGGCTAGAGCTTATGTCACGAAAGCCGCAGCTCCACAAAGAGGTTTGCGCTTTATATTTACGAAAATACGTTTTTAGGCTAGCAATTGTAGCGCAAATTCTGTTCTCACAATCTTCTTGTAATTTGCCACAAAGTTCACTCTTAGGTGGGTTATGAAACAAAAAAAAATGTCGTCTTGATTTGAGCTCCCCCTAGTGTTTAATTATAGGACATATTTTTGTCTACAGCCACTAATGCAAGTATTATTTTATTGTAAGTACAGTTTTACATTTATGACCCCAACAAAAATATAAGAAGAATTCTCACATCACAGAGGCAACCTGGGAATATTTTGAGATTTCTGTACAAAAGCGTATATTTTTAATGAATTTTTAACTTTTTACCAGTTTTTCTGTATATTTGGACAACAACGTAATTAATTTTTGTTAGAAAGCTTTTTAGGTATACAGTAAATATAAGCCATTTATAACATCCCACATATACCTATGGTGATCTGAGATTTTTCTCCTAATTTTAGAAAGTAGCACTATTTTTTTATGAATATTTTTATTTTTGTTGTGACCTTTATAGTTATATTTCCCAATTTTTCTTCAAAAAAGCTTTGAGTCTACTGATTTAAAAACAACATCATATTATTCCGCATGTTAACACTGCCATGTGAGAATATTTTGGTAATTTTAGGATGATTTATGTATTTTTCATGATTTTTTAAAACATTTGTTCAGTAAGTCACAAAATGAAACTCATAGTTTTTGTTGAAAATCTTTTAAATCTAAAGACATTATCAAGTGTTTATGTTATTGGTAATATTCTGTTGATGTATAGATCATTGTTTGATAACCTCACTCATTAAATCTTCACGTTCTTTAATAAGGAAACAGTGGAATTCCATTGTAATCACGATTGAGGAGTCAGCCATGCCTCTGAAAGATATGTGTATAGGCTTTGCAGGTTTAATGACGTATCCTGAGTGTTACTTTCATTGCGCCGGTTGAAGTGAGCTGACGAACGCCGGCGGGAGAACGTGTTTTTGGGGCAGGACCGCGTGAGGACTGGCGAAGTGGAGGGCGGGGCCGGGTAGGCGACTGGCGCTGGGGGCTTGGAACCCGTTGATAACTGCTTGCAGTTCTAGTTATTTTTGCTTTCCTGCTTTGACATATTTTAAATTAGCAATCCTGACAGTTGTTTCCATTCAGATCTTTTTTCATTTTTGCAACAAACAAAGCATTGACCATTCAAAATGCATTGTGACTCAACATCCCTTCCCTTTGAGTTGGTTCAGTCCAACTCAATCTGTATGCCACATTTTGCTGTGGATTTAAAATATGCCAGACAGACAGTTTGGTGCCTCTTCATGTCATCAAGATGTCAACGTTTTTGCACAAAAGAACATATTTGGTTTGCTTACTTCAGTTAAATCAATAATTAGCTGAAAGAAGTGAAGCAGAGGTCTGCAACCTGCAGGTCTGGGGCCACGTGGCATTCTTTGATCAATTGCATGAGGCAAAGTAAATTTATACAAGTAGAAATTGAAATAAAAGGGTAGCTTTAACATTTTCTTGACCTATTTATTTCCACAAGATGCATGGAATGGCTTGGTTTTGGTTTTGTATAAATGGCTGCCCATCCTTCCAGTTGCTGGGTTAGATAACAATACTTGGGTTTTCACTAAAATCTGTCAAAATGCAAAGACTGCGTCCTCTATTGTTTTGGTTATAAGCATGAAAATGTGACATTCTCCTGAACAACTGCACTACCTAATGAAAAAAGTATTACAGTGTAACATAAACTGTTTGGGATGCACACGTGTGGAGAATTATAGGACTTTCTAGAACATTTGATCCTAATTTTAAGCTTCCATTTGTGATGTGGCTCTTTGTTCTCCCATGACAATAAACTCTTAAGAAGTGTTGAGTTTTGTTTATTTTTCCGTGCAACCTTTGAGATGAAATGAAACAGAAAAATGACACCATTGGGTAAAGAATGGAGGCAAGCATCTGCCTGATTGTGCCGCTATGCTAGCAGACCTTTATATCCTGATTGTAGAATCTTTGGGGCAAACAACAAAATGTAAAACAAATTAAGACAAGACAGAGCCACATCTGCAGTTCGCACAAAGGAGCCAAAGAAAGCTGCCTCTTAAAGTGACACTAAACAGTTTTTCACATTTTAAACGATTCGTTCAAACGTGAGATTCAGTGATTGTGTTCATAGAAACTTTACCATCTTCACATGGAACAGCCCTCTGCAGCCCTCTGCTGAGCTGAAGCTGTACTTAACAGGTGTCTGGAGCTGGTAGGTACCCTAGGGTGAGCTCTTTACGGCTGTTAGCTATATTTTGTAGCTTTCTTGCTACTGGACTAATACTTTTTTTTGTCATACAGTATGGATATTTTTCATTTGTGGCTTATTTAGTATTAGTTGGCTCATGTTAGCATTAGCTCGTTGTTAGTACTAGCTACAGCAGGCTGGTGCAGGGTTGTTTATAACAATTGTAATTCCCTTTTCAACCAGTAGGATGGAGGAGCAGGAAACTGTTGTGTCACTTTAAAGCTACAAGCTGGAGGTTTTTTTTTTACCTGATGGCACCATCTAGAAGCTGATAAATGTATCACACGTCAAGCCATGCTCATCACGTCCTTATTTACAGCTTATGAACGTGCACCTCTAGCTGGCGAACTGCGCTAACCCACATGGTTTTATAATTATTATTCTCACGTTGTGCTGTTTATTCTTATATATATTAAAGAATTACTTGTTCATGAGAAAGGTTGCCAAATTCACAGGTATGTTCTCTAAAGCTCAATATTGTGATTCACAGCTATATGTTAGCGGATCGCTACTGGCTATTGCTGAGCGGAGGTCAAATCCAATTGCATGGGACTCTAAAGGAAGTAGCTTCATTTGATCTGGCACAGAGATACAGAAACCCAGGACTACTTATGTTGGGCTGGGGCAGGGGTCCTCAACGGGTCCTAAACCGAGTTTCAGTGTTTCCCCTAGGAATTTTTCTAGCTGTGGCGGTGGGGCCGGCCGGGGGGGGGGGGGG